TTTAGCTATTGATTCTATTTTACTTACTAAATATCGTAGAAATCAATGGATAAAAATAAATACAATAAATACAATAAATAAATAGATAAATCAATTGTTTGGAAAATAGTTCTTCGTGTACTTTTACATATTAATGTAATGTCAATACGAGAAACTTATAATTTTATAAATGTTATAACATTAACTCACCTAATTTTTTCTAAAATTTTTTTACGAAAAAGATGGAAACATGTACTTAGGTTATTTTTTCTTAAAATCTTTATTGCATCCATATAAGTATTAAAAAATATCTTCCTTTTTATTTTCAGAAATATTTTAAATTGGATCATTAGTTTTCTTTGGACTAAACAAAAAAATTTTTTAAATCGCCAAACTTAGATAGACCAGAGATACTTTATTTATCTATAACTAAAGATGACACAAAATAATTGTGTTTGAAAGAAAAAATGAGTGCGCTATGAAGAAATTATCAATTTTCGCACAAAACTTTCGACGATAACCCATATAATTAGTTCTTTCACGTCTGACTTTTTCTAACAAGAAGAAAAACATATTTAATGTAATACCTTTAAAAGTTTTTGGAATCGCTGAATACGAAAATGGGATAAAAAAATTTACAGAAACGTGATCAATATAAAGAATCAAATATTTTTAAATTCTAATAAAACAATATATTATATGTAGTTTGCGAAACGAACGTTGAAAATGTTGAAATATAATAAAAAGAAAATAGTTCAATATATGATGAATACAAAAGATAAAACATTTTCAAATTCTAATGAAAGTTTATATCGAAACATATTAAGAGTTACTAAATACATTTTATTTGTAAACAAAATAAAAAGGTATGACAAAAGGTATAATAATAAAACTTTATAAAATCAAGAGATTTCGGTTTGATTTATATCGTATTTCCGAAAGTATTAAGTTGTTATATCTCTCCGTCACTGAAATACTAAAAGTTTTATATTTATATTTTTATACAGAGCATATAAATAAAACAGAGCAGATGATATAAAAATGGCATATAAATAAAACAGAGCAGATGATATAAAAGTGACATATTATCGTATTAAATTGTAATATTATCACATCATCAGAAAATTATCTAATTAGAGTATGATATTCTCTTATCATATTAAAAATTTATATTATAGTATATTGCCACTCGAAGATAATGATACTGACATTGCTTATCATATCAAATTTCTTATGGTTCATCCGAGAACTTTTGTATCATTTCATATAACAATGCAAATAATTTTTTGAAGAAGGAATCAATAAGATCGTTTTTGATTCCCTTACTAATTTCCATCAAACAATTTTGTTCGTATTGTACATACATTAGAAATATCAAAAATAATAATTATGTAAGAAAAACTCGATCCATAAAACCAATTATTTATCTTGATATATCACTACTTAATATACCTAACCCTTTTCATGACTAATAAGTAAATTGATAAAATATTTTTGTTTATCGTATTACTTTGCTATCATAATAACATTTTAGACTATCTCTCGTCTCTAAGATAAAGATGAATGTAGCTTATAATAACAAAAATAAATTTTTTTATTACTTTTGATTAGAGATCCTTTATTTTACTAATGTGTTGTAGCAAGTGTGTATATATTGTCTAGAAAATAAATATACTTACTAGAAGTAGTAGACATTTTAATATTCAGTTGATACTTTTGCTAAAATCTTACATAAATGCAGAGATTATAATAGTGTATATATTTATTAAATTTTATACTTGAGCTGTGGAATATATATTACTCATTCTAACTTATACCGTTTCACTCTAATTAAGATATATATAGAATGAAATAATATATTATATATTAGAATAGTAGTATTATACAGAAAGATATTATATATATGTATATCTTTCTCTCTCGTAGAATTTTGATAAAATCGCTCGAGACTACATATGCTCTTGATATATGAGTATACTTATCAAAAGTTAAGATACACAAATAGATAATCATTAGAGATGCATTGGAAAATATCCGGTATTATCCGGTACTTTTTTATTATCCGGATTGAATAGCATTAGTATTCGGCAATCTAGCTGAGATTTCATATTGAAAGTTTGTATCATAGATGCAGAATTTTATTCTTTTCAGCTGAACTTTTTGTATAGTTCACAGTTTTTCATAGTTATAGTAATTTATGGCGATACTCGAAATAAATTGTCGTCGGAAAATGCTGAAATGTCATTGTCCATCATAAAAAATTTATTAATATTAAACTTTGATTACTAACTAAACTGTTAAAACTATATTGCAAACAATATCCTGTTCCACAGTTGATCAATTATTATCGTTACTTTTCCCTTTTTTTTAAAGAATTTTGGGGAATTTATATCGGTTAGCGGGAAAATATCAGATTGGATAATTGCTCTACCGGATATCCGGTGCGATATTCTTTTTAGATATCCGGAATTCAGTAATTTACTATCCGATGTATCTCTAATAATCACTATTAGTTGCCTACAGATACAAGTCTCTATCAAGATCGTAATCATTATAGAGGCTTCTATTGTTTTTATTATTTAAAACAATTTTATTCGTAATAATAGTTTAAGTAAGGAATGTATTGTCAAGGATGTATAAAATAAACGAGATGTCTCACCACGAATATAAATATACAACTGAATAATTATAGACGGCGACTCCAATATGGTTGGTAGTGTATGGAGTATTCCACTAAATGATTCAATGTATGGAATTCCATACACTGAATTTTATATCTGTATATTTGGTCGGAGAGAAATTTAGAAATTAGAAATTATAATTTAGAAATTTCAAACGAAAAATATCACTGCATTGCTTGAAGGATGTAATACAATTTTTATGTGACAATCCCGAGATCTTATACCAGAACAATAAAATTTATTCGCATTCTTTTAACGATTCCTACATCAACTTGTTCGAATGAAAGATCATTTTCTTGTTTAAGACATTTAAAAAGTTATTTTCGATCGACAATGAAACAAAAACGTAAATCATATTGCGACATTAAACATTTATCAAGAAATGGTCGATAAGTTAAATATGGAGGAGATTATTATTCATTAATAATTTTATTTAAAAAAAAATAAAATTAAAGTGACTACTTTTGCCATGTATTATAGAAAAGATATGTATGAGGAAATATATTCCCCCCCCCCCCCCCCATACCCCCCTTCTCTCCCTCTCTCTCTCTCTCTCTCTCTCTCTCTCTCTCTCTCTCCTCGGGAATTACATACACTGAAAAATTTTACTTTGCCGCCTCTGGTAATTATATCCTTAATTATGATTTAATTTAGATTCTCAGTGCTTAAATACTATTTTCGGTGTAAATTTGTATAAATACATATCCTGTTCTGCAAACTGAGCGCCGAAATTATATTCAATCTCGAAACGCAATCATAAGCTACGCGCGAACTGAATTAATTTAAAAAATTTTTTAAATTAAAAAAATGAGAAACCTATCTCTTTACTATGATTACAACTTCGACGCGGTATAAAGATTTAAATCTGTAGGCAATTAATAGTGATCATTTATTTGTGAATCTCATCTTTTGATAAGCACTCATATGTGAAGAGTAATAAAAAAATTCATTTTTTCATAATGAGTTATATTCATCTTGGAGACGATAGATTTATGGATCGAGTTTTTTTCATATAATGACTGTTTTTGATATTCATTTCTTAATTATATAATACTATTATATAATACTATTATACTATAATAATATAATATATTATATAATACCTTATACAATAAAAAAATTGTTTAATGAAAATCGATAAGGAACTCAAAAATAGTTTTATTGATCTTCCTCTTTCCTTAATATAACAAGTGATATACAAATGTCGTACTATACACGTGACCGTAGAAATTACAGCACACGATGTTAAGATAAATACATGTTTTCGATGATTTTGAATAATGGAGAGAATAATGAAGTACTTGCGAGTATTTAAGGAAAAAATAATGCCGGCGATTATTTATCAATTACAGAAGTAAAAATCAATATCTTTTATTTAAAGGATATTGACTTTAAATTACAATAATAAACATTTATATACAATATTTATTAATATAAATTATAATTTTAAACAAAAGACAAAAATAGATTCGGTATTACTCCGTGTGATGACGAATAATTTTGAATGGTAAGGATTTGTTTTTTACTTCAAAATTATAATTTATATTGCTTATATGTATGTATATGAATGCTAATTATTAAAGTTTAAATATAAAACAGAGTTTCCATTTTTGGAATAAAGACATTCATTAATTGGTAAACAATTGACAGTTTTATTTAAATCTTTCCTTAGGTGTCAGCAATTCTCTCACTTTTCTCTATGATATGTAGAGGAGAAGATGGTATTATGTTGCCAGTGTAGATATTATGGTCCCTCTTAATCTCCATCATTAAATGGTGAATTTTAGCGGTTACTTATAGAATAATCTGTTTAATAGGTCGCCGTTATACCATGAATAATAATATGCTAATATACAATAATCAGCATTTTTTTATAACGCATTTTTTTATTTTTTTATTTACTTTCAAGCATTTCATTTTTAAAGTACACAGTTTATTATTTAATTACACATATACGTATTTTTTCATTCTTCTAAAACTTGAGTGTATTATCATACGAATATATACGTATACATTTGAATTGTTCTTTGTTATTTAATTGGCTGTATACATTTCGAGTTATGCAAAGTTAGATAATGGCATTTTGCTAATGTGGCCTCCTAAGCTGTTGATTGCTGACGCCCCCCCTTTCTCTCTCTCTCTCTCTCTCTCTCTCTCTCTCTTAAGGATTTCACATTAAAATAATTATTCCACAAATCGATCGGAGCTCTGTTAATCTATAGTTTATGTTGCATGTACTATAAATTTTTAGTATTGCGTAACTACGTACTTGTATACGGAAGTAGTTATGCGTTCATTTATATAATTTGCATACATTTTGTAACACTTTACTTTTTTATTAATTTTGTGTTTGTAACCGAATGTGTTGTTTTTCTAAACAAAACTAATTTTTCAAATCAATTTTTGGACGGAAAGCCATCCCTGTTTCTCATCGAGCCATTACTGCCACATTTTTATAAATAGTGTTCTAAATATTAAATGTAAATAATTCGATCATAATTTTGAGACTAGAGTCGATTGAACAAATAACATTTTGACAAACGTATTTGTTAAGTTTTAAATTTAAATATTGATTATTAATGAAGTTATCGTATAAAATATAAATGTGATGTCGTAATAGCACCTCCTTCTCTATCAATACGCAAAGGAGAGGGCGAGTAAACAAGAGGGCGAGTGAAGGGTGATTGGGAGTCCGGGACGTCCGTCTCGGTTGAGCGACACTGAGGTCTCGCCGATTCCCCTCCTCCTAGTCGTCCTGCACCCACTATTGGCCCCACTGGCTGGCGCGTCTCACTTCTCGTAGTTCTCGTCTCGCTGCCAGTGGCTGCTAGTCGGTGGCGGGCGCTCGTAGAGTATGCGTCGTTTATCGCGCTCGAAGGCCAGTATTCTTCTTCCTCCTTTCTCGTCGTCTCTCTCCTTCGTGTACGTCATTCGCGCATTCGTATCACGACGACAGTGATCCTAGCAGCCTGACGTTACGCGACGCATCGGCACGTGCCGGCGACCCGGAGTCCGGAGATCGGCCGTGACGATTCGAATTTTTCGGAGCACACACACGACGTCACGACGTCACGACTCACGACCCCGGATCGACGCGCTCCACTCTCGCTGCTCGCATCGGTGCGTTTGTTTTGACATGTGTGTAGGCTGCCATATTGGATTACCGCATCGCTGCTGTTGCTGTCGCCGTCGTAGTCGTCGTCATCGTCGTCATCACCGCTGCGGAGCACCCGGGCGTGAGACGCGACTTTCGCGCTAAAAAAAAGGTGAGGAAGAACGACGAGAGCGTGCGCGCGCGCGACATCGGCGCGACGACGCGCCGAGGCGTCGTCCTCCGTCCTCTCTACGTGTACGCACATAAACGAAAGCGCGGCGTTTTCGGGCTCGCTCAATAACGAGCGTCGTCGTCGTCGTCGTCGTCGTCGCCGCTGCCGAAGCGCGCTTTTTTTCCTCGCGTTCCCTGCTCGGCGCGAGCGCTCGACGCGTTCGACGACATGTACGCGCGTTTAAATCGACGCCTCTCCCCAGCATCTAGCGTGTGTCACGCTAATGATGCCAGATTTTGATTCGATGTGCATCGAGACTCGATTCTTTTTCACACACTCAAGAATCCAATTTTCAGCCAATTCTGAGAAATTTTATTTATCGTCGATTCCTTTTTAGTTAGAATCGAGGAGACGATAGAGAGTTTTTGCAGTATCGTGTAACCGGTGTACATCCAGATACGGTGAACGCTAAAGTCACGTTATTTAGTGGAAAGTCGAACTGCGCATGCGCAATTTTGATTTTTCATTAAATAACGTGACTTTAACGTTCACCGTATCTGGATATACGGTATTGCAAAAATTCCCCAATGTAGTCGTCAAACGATTGAATATATAATGGATTCTTGGCTCTGTAGAGACCAATTACATTCAACATATCTCTCCGCGAGAATCCCATCTAGAAATCGAGACAGACAGCAAAAAGCTGTTCACAAACGGAAAGAAATAGCTGACAACAATTATACGATAGACGAATGAATAGGATAAAAAGAAATATCCATTTATTTTTATTTACCACGCTACATTATTCTTCCTTTGAAAGCCGTGTTTCTTCTCGTGTTTTCTTTTTTGCTCTTTGAAAACTGTATTCAGTAATAAGAGGCTCAATATAACTCTCGATTCTTTGGAATCAATTCATTTTTCTCTCTTGAATTAATTATAAAAATCATGGCCTCAAAAATGAATCGATTCTCAGGAATCGATTCATTTTTCAGAAAATGGCATCACTAGATCACGCGCTTTTTGTAGAACGAGAAGTGGAGCTGAGCGAAACTTTTCAATCGCGCGATATTCACGGCGAGACACCGAATGGAACGCAATTTACGCCAACTGCTTCTAACAGTCTTCCATGATTTTCATGCGTAGATAGATTAATTTATTACGTGCTCCAGAATTAATGGCTTTGTAAACTTCGGCTCTGAGAAAAGAATCAAAAATATGAGAAAAAGCTGTAATAAAACTGTAGACGTATAAGCACAGAGAGAGGTTTATAAAACTGAAAAGTGTATTTACAAAAGTGCATTTGTTTACATATAAACATAACAATAAACACAATAATAACATTTCCAAATTCAACAAACAAGTTGATAGTTAAAAAAAAGGATGTTAGAAGTCGGCACGATAAATAACTAAACAAATAACCGCGTTGTTTATGTGATAAAGCTCGAAATACAATTGAAAAGTACAACAGGAATATGAAATAACAGAATATGCGGTTTCTGATAGGTTGAAATCTGTTATTCGAGTGACTCAGCCGAAGATAATTATAAAATTTCATTTTAAAAGCGCTCGGAAGAATTGCGACATGGAAATGAACCGATAAGATATTTCGCAGGTAAATAGGCATTTTAAATTTTAACATTGCTGTTCGAATAGTATTCGTTTTGAAAGTATATAGTTCAATTTATATACATTTATATACATAGAACTTTCAAATTCAACAAACAAATTAACAAATTAAGTTAATTATTTTCAAAAAAGAAAGGCGTTAGGAGGCGTAATATAATGAGCAAATTGCAATACAAACACTTTAATAATTAAACGACATATGAAATTAAAGTCGCAAATTTTAATTAGCCGGATAATACAATATATAAATATGCATGTTTTTGGCTTCATCAACAACACGCAATTAATAATTAGAATAAAAATACAAAACCATCGTAAAAGATCCATATCAATTATTCGTGTGAATTGTCGTGTATTGTGCTACGATCTTATGAATGAGATAAAAAATTGATTTGAATTCTTCAAAGGAAAGAAATGTTGAGATTACCACAGTTACAACACTGTACGGAATCATCTGAAATTCAAGTCCACAGCAATATAACGTACAATGTTCAGAAGTCATCAATTAATAATAATTAATATAAATAGTCAGGTATAAGTCACAAATTAATATAAAATAAATTAACAATATCAACATCATTAGATTAAGATGATCCATATTGATCGATAAATGGGCTCACAAATAAATATTATTAAAACGATCCGTCTGTTTTACCAATTAGATGCAATATTTTTTTTAACAATTACTTATTCCTTTTTTTATAGATTTGAAAATTCTTTCCCAAAATTAAAATATATGCATTAATACGCATCTGTGAAATTGAGTTTATACTAAGAATGAAAAAAATTTTTTTAATTGAGATTTTTATTCTATTGATTGGAGGTTGCCTCCTCTTATTTGTATTTTTACGTAAAAATAAATTCTTAGTGCATAAATGAAAATAAAAGGAACAACCTACAATGGCTTTGACATATGATATCAAGGTCATGACTCCAAGCAACATTCAAAAGATTTTTAGCCATCAGTCGGACACCTTAAATAATGCATAGATATTAGATAATGCAAATGCCGACAGTACAGTAACTTTCAAACCTCTTAATTTGAAAAATGTATTTAATAAAATACTTTATTATAGCGTTTTAGAAAACTCTTGAAACAAAGTACAAAAATATGCAGTAAAAAATGGGAGATTCCATTCAAACAATTTAATGCAACCTTGATCTTAAGGATCGTCTTTTTGAGATCAACAAAGGTCATCATCTTCTTTCCTCCTTGAAACCATGAAATTTTTGTTTGAAAGATTTGAAGAAATATCTCTTTATCTTGAGATATTTGCGTGTATTAATTAAAATAGTACCATGTATATATTGTATATATACATTATACATACATTTGTTTTTACGTGACAAAACCTCGTTCAGTTCGTGCATTTTGGCTGAATCTATGAGATCCGTGTATCGAGTAGTTTCACTATAGTTTCAGATGCGTTGAAGTTCAGTGCTGCTATTTTTGATGATTACGGGTTAAGAGAGCGAGAGAAATGAATGCTCTCTTTCGCGACAGCGGTAACTGGAATTCGTTCCAATATAACCCCCTTGAAAGAGAGAGGAGAGGGGGAGTGAGAGAGAGAGAGAGAAAGAGAGAGAGAGAGAGAGAGAGAAATCGATATTTATTAAACGCTCCAAGACGTAATTCTTTCAAGCACACAGTAATTTATCAAAATTGATACATAAATTGACTAGATACAGAAGAAAATTTAATAGAGAGAGAGAGAGAGAGAGAATTGATATTTATTAAGTAATCTTCGGGGTATAATCCCTTCAAATGCACGATAATTTATAAAAGTAATACATATCTTGACTAGATACGAAAGAAGAAAATTTATGAGACAGAACGAGAGATAAGGAAGGAGAGGGAGAGGACTCGTAATACGCTCAACTTACATAACGCAATTACCTCGGTGATTTGTAATGATGATGTGAATCACACCTCTCGCTCAGATGCGAGTCGCGCGCAACGCACACATCGGCTGCGACGGATATTGACGACGTAGAAGAACAAATGATATCATTCACGAAGGCACTCTTGGTGGACAAGCTGCGTTCATTCTACGTGTATCGAACGGATTGATAATCTTGTAAGCAACTGTTTATATGTAGAAATAAAATGTTATTGTTGCATCGTGGAATTTGGAGACTCAACTGAGATTGTCCTCAACTTGATTTTTTGAATAATCAAATACGCTCGAATCTCTATCGTGTTAAGGTTTTCTCACGAACTTTCGCCGGTAGATTTAATGGTATCGATCTGATTTAATGGTATCGAGTTAAAAGGGGAAAAAAAGAGAGAAAAGAAGACGCTGGTCTAACAATAAATGCAACGATCGATTAACGTGCAAACGAGAGAACGAAAGAAACTTTTCTTCTTTCGTCATGATTTTTTTATATCGGTTTCCGCATGCAGTTAACGTTAACATATTTTTTTCCTTTATGGGGCTTATCAAACGGGTAGAAATAAAGGAAATCGTAAGCGAACAGGTTACGGTCGTGGCTTAAAATTAGACTTGGTACACACAAGCGTACGTCCGATTCATTTGCGACGGGTCGTATTCATGTTTCTTTCCCGTGGTCACTCCGTTTCACTACGGGAACAAAGGAAAGCCAACGAGCCTGAAAGCGAGACGGAGAGGAGGAAGAGAAGGAAGGAGGAAGTAGAGACATGTAGTACGTACACACAACATGCACTCGTTTCGTGCGTGTCGAAAGGGCACGGAAGGGTCGCGAAGACGCAGCTGTTCACTCGGGGTTCACACTCGGATTTTAAGTATAAATTCGTTTGCCCGCCACGTAATCTCGTAATCCCTATAATCAAGCCGTCATAAAAGGTTTCGGCGTTCACACGTTCCGCCTGGTCGTGGATGCAAAAAAGGCGAAATATCGCCAGAGTTATGTACAGAGAGAGGATGCATATCACGACATGTAATATCACGGAGAAAAATTGTGGAGTAATTTTTACCTTAAAAAACTAGTAAAAATATTACGGCTACTTTTGCCGAATTTCTGACAAACTTCACTTGCCTGAAAGTAAAAATACCGTAAGTGTAAGGTGAAAATATGTGACTGTAAATCTATCAAGTGATTATTCTTACAGTAAAATAAATCGTACTATTCTCAAGACTGTAAGCGCGAACAATTCTCGAGACTTTAAACACTTGTATTTACTACACAGTAAAGTAAATTTTGTAAGCGCTAAGGCAAAAAATACTCGTCGATAAGATTAATTCTATGTATGGTAATTAAGATTTATTTTATTTACACAATGTATAAAATACCTTGCAGTGTGACTATATATTATATAACGATCACTCATTTACCAGAAAAGTAAAGTAAATTTTACACAAGTGGACGCCTGTCCCTAAATGGGCCTGTCAATTCCATAAAATTTATTAGAATTTTAACGCATATTACATTTTTTCTCCATGATAGGGAATACATTACGTTATTTTCGTAAAAATCGATCATTATCTCATATATCACTGTTTGTCTCGCTGTTCGTAAAGATAAAATTTTAGTACTTTATTTGAATTTACTCACTGGAATTTTGAGATGTGTTCTCGACTTATTTTGTGTCAGTGTATCTCACATGCTGATCTTAACTATTGCACAAAGATTTTCTCACGAACCTTTGAAAGGTTACGTTACTATACTTAATACAGAGGAATTAATGTTTGAATTACATAAGCTGAATTAGAGAAAGTGTTATACTTCACTATCGTTTATAAATTTGGAAGCGCTTGCGATTTTTTCGTATCTCACGAAAAGTTAAGTATTTCGGTGATAAGTGATTGGAGAGAAATTGTTGAAAATGCATTTTAAAGAGAAGAGATAGATCTGTATTTTTACTTTTTAATTTTGTTTGTATGATATTTCGTTCCTAAATTACATAAAATTGAAAATTCGTATATTTCCAATATTTTTGTTTTGCTTTGAAGAGCTTTAGCTTGATGAAACATCATCGAACGAAAAATCAATGAAAAAATTGTTGCCACGATTTTTCACAATAACCAAATTTCTTATATAAAAATCTTCAGAAAATATTTTTTACAAAAAGTTCTTTATAAATCGTTTTATAAAATGTTTTTAATTTTTTTAACTTTGAAATTAAAGAGTTTATAGAAAAAAAGAAGAGAAAAAATTTTTGTTATTATGTTCTCGATTTACATACATTTCTTCAGAATTTTTTGAAGATCTTTTAACTTAACTTTTCATGAAATGTGAAAAAATAGCGAGTGAAATTATGAACGGTAGCGTATTTAGGATGAATAAACATGCAATATCTTTGTAATTTAATGAAAATGTTATGAATGGCAAGAAAGCTGCAGGAAAATACAGATTATAAAATGACTAGAAAAAGACACGATATAATTAACCAAATAGGTGCATTTACTTTATATCATGTTAATTAAACTGTTAATTTCATGTAACGAATTTTAATAGTCATTTTCAAGTAATAAATTGCCAAGTCGCGTAATAAATTGATGAGGTAAATGGGAGGAACATTTTAATTCTTTCGTACCTCCGGCTTTCCCAAAAGAGATGCGTTTAATATGAAGACGGTTTTATAGGTTTTTGAGGGTGCTCATTTTTAATTTACTATCAAAATTTAAAATCAAAATGACGAATTCAAGACCATGAAAAGCTGAATTATCGGTATATTTCAAATATGAGCTTGAATTTTATTTTTTAAATATATATTATATTGTTACGAGCGCACGCGGAATGCGTCATACAAATACACTCACACACTACTATTTAAAGTTCTCTGAATGAATTATGGATTACGTACACTTCGATTACATATATATAAACTATTATAATATTTATCATAATAAAATTGTAATCATATTTAAATAAGATTTTTAAGTTTAATATAATTAGCATCAATTCTATTTTTCGACATCTATTATTCTTCATTATCAAAAAGTTTGATTTTTTAAAAAAGTTTAGATAATTATATTTTGCTAAAAATGTTTAAATGTTTCAAAGTGTGCAAATCTTTTACATGTACGTTGAATCTTGTTTAAAACAAATCAAGATAAAATCGATAGGATTACTTGTTTAACTCTTCGTGAACCAGGTGGAAAATCAACATGGATCATATTAGAGCCTATAATCAGAGTGGCGCCATACGAGAGATGATGTCATGTTTTAGCGAAATTTTGCGAGAGAGAAAGAAATATACAGTCTCAGTCTATCCAACAGACTGTCAGTTTTAGGGTTAGATACAACAGCATTGAACGACATAGATACATTGATAAAAATAAAATTATCGAAATTATTTATGGTTGGATGTACAATACCATTTTGTAACAATTCATTAAAAAAAGGATATGTTATGAAAATAATTCCGAAAGACACAAAACGCCGAATGAATTGGTTAAAGAGTATAAATGGCAAATATAAAAATTGGACACCGTCAAAAAATTCTATATGTGAGATAAAGTATAATAATTTATTCTTTATAAATAATGTATTTAAAATATTAAATTGTATGAGATGTGATATACATATATAATATTTGTCTGAATTTTTTATTTCTTTTATATTATTACAGATGCATTTTGCTCCTAAAATGTGGGAACAGAGAATGGATAATAAACTAGCGCATTTAATAGCGCAAATAATGTGCAATAAATAACGTTTTGTATAAAATAATGTGCAATATTATAAAATGTACAATATTGCAATAGTACAAAATAAATGAAATTTTATAATAAATAATATATGTAAAAGTTTTATTATTTTATATACAATATTATATATATTATTATTTTATATACAATATTTATTTATTATCATTTTTTAATTTGTCACAATTTTTGAGCATTTTTTAGCATAAATTCAAAATTTAGAAAATATTGCGTTTAAAAAACTGGAGGGAATGGCTAAAACATGGCGGACCAATCACAAGTGATACCCGTATAGCGTCACTCTGATTGTAGGCTCTCTAGATCATATATCTCATATCCCATGTTATATTTTATCATAAATATACTATAATTTAGTGGATGATGCGGCAACATGCGTGCGGTACTTTTATAGAAATTCATTTTGTTAAAGTATGTCATACTCCACCTGGAGAGTTCAAAGTTATGATTTTTTTCATAGGTGGAATATATATGTCCCGGAGGGTACGAAAGAGTTAAGAAGAAGAAGATAATTCGCTAACATCATTATGGAAGGGACAATGAAGTTGCCAACAGTAGCTAGTGTTTCTTTTGAGTTTTCTAAAAGTTTCACAAAAGTCACAGATGGAGGCAACTTACATCTCGAAAGATTGTGAGGAGACAAAAAAATGTTATCCCTCTACTTTATATTATTCGCTCTCTCTGTCCGCAACAGCTGAAAGTTTTATGAGAAATGCGAGATAGGAATCTATAATGACAGATACATGATTATATAATCGTAAACATTTAACGTATTTCATATAATTCTGTAATACATCGAAAATGCACACGACAGAAAGATTGATTTTAAACGCGTTACACTTTTTATACGACGTGCGTTAAAATCGTATTCTTGGAATTATTCTCAAACATTTTACGTGCAATATCTTTGCTGAGATGATAAAACAGAAATATATACACCTATATATGTAGAATTAGCTCGAAAGAAGAAAGAATATCTACCATCGATATTTTCGTCTTTCTCGAGTGTTGCGCAAACGTCGCTCCCATAACATCCCTCTTGCAAAAGCAACATAAAAACATTGAACGTGACCCGATTTACTCGGGTTATTCATAGCGACACACAGGGTAAGTCTTCCGACGTAGTGTGTCAGACGCATATTCGTGCACGGCGTACGTGTGCCTTGACGCCTTGACTGAATAACAGATTGAGAATGACGTAAGCTCGTAAGAGATCCAAAAGAGTTAATTTTTTTTTGTCGTCGATTATCGCCTAAACGATACGCCTGCCTATGCCTTCGTTTTATCATCTTTGGACTATAAAAGATAATTGGATCTCGGCGTTATTCAGCTGGCAATGAAAGAATTACTTGAATCTTCATCAAAATTTAATGTGAAGTTACATATTTGATTTCATTAATTTAGTTTTTAAGGAAAAACCTAATTAACAG